GTATCTCCTGAGTAGCGAATACTGAATACTCAAATTTGCTGGCAATGTGTTGCAATCTTTCAGATAAATAAACAATTCATAAAAATATTCAACTAAAAAGATATAGAGTTTTAAGTATGAATTCTTAAATACGCTAAATGAGTGCAAATATATGCAAACCACTCTGCTATCTCTCCGAAGACCAATTCCAGTAAACTATAGCAATGTTGTGCCAGTTTTTATTTTTATTTTACTTTTTTTTTTTTCTGAATCAGTGATGATATAACTCCTACAGCACATAGCTTAGGAATACATACATACATATGTAGAAGTATAATTTACAGCTTCAGCCAGTGTGTGTAGATCATTACAAACTTTTTGACCATGGCCCGGCCATGTAGACGAGTGCCTACATAAAATTTCAGTTAATTTTATTTAAGCATTAAAGAATGCAAGTAAATCTTTTATTTTTTTTTTTTTTTTTTTGACTTTTTTCTCGTTTTTTATCTCTTCTACTCGATAACAAAGCATAAAAAATGTAATGAACTTGAAAAGACGAAAAGATTGAAGTAGAAATAAAAGTGGCAGTGGAACATATGATACAGCATACAATATCACACTGAAGGGCTCCTTCGTGTTCCGTGTTCTGTGTTCTGTGCTCTGTGTTGTGCTGTTCTGTGAGAACTTTGATAGAAGGTATGAGAGTGGTAGCGGCAGTGGCAGCGACAGCGGCAGCACACATACCGAATTTAAATGACCGACCAACTGACTGACTCAATCGCCAATGGAAAAGTGGTGTGACAACATTTTTTCATTATCGTCGTCGTCGTTTTGAAGGAATTTCTTGGTTTTTGGATTCCGATCGGCTTCGTTTCGTTATCTTATTTTAACAATTGTTCTTAGTAGGCGATTGACTGCGCCTGTTCAAATCTGTTTAGTTCGTTCTAGTTTAGTATCTCAAGCTCAGTTCGGAAAGTAGTTTTTGTTTTATTTTTATTTTTATTTTTGTTACTCCTTTTTTTCTGCATTTGTTAATGGAGAATGATGGGATAGTTTGCATCGTTTTGGTAAAACGTGTTGGTTAAACTTGTTATTATTGTTATTGTTGTACCTTCGTTTATTGTTGTTGTTGGTATTGTTGTTATATTTGTTGTTGTTATATCAAAGTTATTTAGTTAAAGTTTATTTAAAAGGAATTTTCTTCATTGTTCCTTGGTTACGTTCACGTTCGCTTGCGCATTGTGTGCAGTTGGGTTTTGTGCATGTGATTCATTTCGTGGAGTGTTGCAGATGCAGATTAGCAGAAATTTAATTCGAATTTTTATGCTTTTAGACTTTTATGGTTTTTATGGCATCGTTTACGGTAATTAAGCAATAAAATGTTGAAATATATTAAAAATGATGAAAATTGAATAACTTTAAATTAATAACTAAATATCTACATTTGAATTAATATGAATTCTATCATGATTTATTAATTTTTATAAGCGCACGTGCATACATATATTTATCAGGCTTATAGTGTTTTTAATATTAACAACAATATTAATAAAATTAAGAAAATTTAAAATTTTATTTGGATCGTGTAAGTTTTTGTTTAAAAGTAATTTTCTCTATATGATTATATGATGCAGTGTGCCAAGCAACTCAGACATACATTGCCCAAATAGGGGGTTTTGAATATTTTGATGAGGTACACAATTCAAAAAAACTCTTGCCAGTATTTGAGAATTAATTTTATTAAATAATTAATTAATTTCTAATTAATTTTATTATATATTTTCGAACACAGCTTTCTAAATAATTTTTAAAAAATATATTTTATTTTCACCTTATTTGGACAACAGTCTATAGTCATCTGTAGTCAGTGTAGTTTATATTTGACTATCAACTATAGTCGAAATATTGGTGACAATAAAATATATTTTATAAAAAAAATTAATAGATTACGTATTATTAACCCGTTCAAAAATAATTGAAATTTTATATGAATAAAATTCATATTTTTATATTATATTTATATTTTAAATCAATAAATTTAAATTAAATTTCATTACTTAATATTATCCTTAAGTTTATTCTTGTGATATAAGTGTAATCTCTTAATAATTAAAATTCAATAAATTTATTTCAAATTTGTTTTAAATTGTTTGGTTTTTTAATATATTGTATTAATACAATACAAGTATAGCGATATAAATAAATAAAAATATATATATATATATATTTAATTAGCAGATTTTTGTTTACAATTAAAATATGTTAAAAAATTGTAAAAGGTGTTAAAGAAAAGTTAACACCATTTAATTTAATATATTTGTGAACATTATTTATATATAGAACACATTTCGAATTATCGATCATTTTGACTATATATTGTATAGTTTTAGTTAATAAACAATATTTACGTAAATTGCCAACTTTATATATTAAATATATTCTCATAAGAAAAAAAGTTATGGTTTGATCTGTAGCAGGACCCTAAGTAGACCTTGTATTGATCATTTGCATTTTCCTAAAACTCTTGGTATTTAACATTTCGCTTTTGGTGATTTAGTATTCAAATGTACAGACAGTTCATGAAATACGTATACGTTTGTTTCCGAAGTATATTTATTAACAATTTTATTTTTTTAAGGTAATCAGAGTCGGCCTAAGAATTATAGCCCTCCTATATACAAAACCTATAAAACCAAAGATTAAAAATCCTAGTATCTGAACCTGCGTGTCTATTGGTAAATAATCAATAACAAAGGTAATTATATTGTTACTTATTCAAAGTATTTAGCTTTGATGCAATTGCTCCTGTTTTACAACTTAATTTGAACTTTTTCAAGAAAGGAACAGTATATTATAGACCTTATAGATATTGGTTCGTATGTAAGTAAGGGAATAACAGATGTAGTAATTGGAAATATTGGATTTATGAGAATAAAAAAAATATTTTCTAATAATTTTTGTTTATTTTCTAATGTTTCATTTTTAATTTTACGGGTTGTTGTAAAACTCTGTCCTGAGAAAGAAATCACCCGAACTTCGAAATCTTTAAATTTACAAATGTATAGAAAATAACAACAGTATGAAAAATAAATTAAAAATAAAATACCAACAGTTTGCATTTCTTCACTAAAAGGCTTTAATCTATAAATATATATATTTATAAATAATAATAAGTAAATATATATATACATTTATTTATAATAATAATATATATATATATTTATTTATTTATTTTTAGATTTATAATTTAAAAATATAATAATAATATAAATTATTCTTATATATATATATATATATATAACATATAATAGAAATATTCAATAAAGACTGTTTTAAAAAAAAATGTTAATATCTAATGTTTGTTGTTTTGGTTTAATTTTTGAAATAACGAAGTTATAACGTAGGACCAAAATATTGGTCAAGTGTTTAGGGGAAAACAACCCATTCCTTCTGCACAATTTCATTAGCTAATTAATATTTTAGATACTTGCAGAAGATTCCCCGTTTTAAGTTTTATTTCGAAAGCTTTTTGAAATTATAATCATAAGTTATCATTTAAGGGAAAATCTGGTATTAATTATGGCATGTTTTAATTTATAGGTATCCACTGTATAACTGAACTTAACACTGTATAATTGCTAATGGCATAACTTAACTACGCAATATAGACCATAATTTATACATGTATGTACCGGGCTTTCTATAAAGCGAATAAAACTTACCATTATTGGGCTTTTTAGGCACATCAGCTAAATCAATGCCACGTGCTTGGAACACATGCGAGACAGCAGTACAATTAGGTATGAATTGTTCCAGAACTGATGATGCACCACCCGCACTACCAGGTGATGCTAAAGCAGCAGTGTGTGGCGGTGGAGGCGGCGCGGTAGCATTAACATCTGTGCTTTGTGCACTGACAGTTAATGTAGACGAAAAAAGTTGTGACAGGAAAATTGGCAGCAGGAGTAAAATTACCGGCGTAAAATGTAATTGTTTAAGAAATGATAAACGCTTTAAATTGTTGATAGTTCTCGTTATCATTTTCATATTGTCTTCGATTCTTTTATTTTTGTTTTTTTTGGTATAAAGATAACTTCAAAGCGAATGTAACGCGAAATCACTTAAGCAATAAATTTAGTAGACTTTATCTATGTTTTTATTTATAGATATAAAAAAAAATATCAAAGCGCGAGAATGAGGAATAACCTATTTTGTTTAGTCAATGTAAAACGTTAATTAATATTGTTTTTTATTTAGTTATCAGAGAGATATTTTTTATATACAATTAAATATTGTATTACGTATTTCATTTATAGCTGTGCTTTTAGCTACTTTATATTTTATATTATTTAATTTTTTATTTTGCAAACAACTATTATTTATTTTTATACCGGCTTATGTTAACTGATTAGTATTGAGTTATCGGAAATTATAATTTCAATGGCATTTTATACGGGGTTTATCATTTTCAAAGGTATAGAGTTATTTTGTGGTAGAGATTATAGATATTTTTTAAATATTATTATTAGAATAATTTTTGCACAATTTGTTAAAAATTTATATTAAACTAAAATTCTGTTTTGATCTTCAGAACTGCAATGGTGCTATTTGTATAAACAATTATTTCAAAAGAAAATTAGAAATTATTAAAGCACAGCTTTAAAATTACGAAAATTAAGCGGCACGCATAATACAAAACGAAACAGTAACACACAACCTACACGAACGACGAACAACACACGACTGAATTCACAGATTTGTTGAAAGCGAACTCTTGAGAACATCTCCAACACAAAACAAAAAACAACAACAACAAAGCACATCAAACATTCCAGTGTGCAGTGTTGCCGCTTTTGTGTAATGTTCAATTGTGCAAGATATAACACACAACGATTTGTGTAGTACAAAGCAGAAACTAATTTCGATATAATTTTTTTAGCAGTAAGCATAGAAATGTTTAATTTTAATTTAAAATAATATAATATAAAATTAAAATTATTTTTTATATTAAAAAAATTTAAGTTAACAGCTTGTTTCAACATAAAATTTTCAGTCACCAACTAATTCATCCAACATTTCGGCTTTCAAGTCAAAATTTACATTGGATTTTTTTTTAGTTCAAGCAAACGTAAAAGTGCACAATGTCAAGCAGTAGGTATGATCCGAAGTTGTCATTAGAGACACAAATGCAATATGTGGAACTTGAAGCCGAGAAGCGAATAGGCTATCGTAAGTAATAACGTTTCTTCAGTATATACCTAAATATCATTTTAAAACAAATACAAACATAAAACCGTTTTTAGTAATGGAGAAGTGCGATGCAATTGATAGCCGTCTAAATAAGATGACTGAAAAGGTGAGGGAAATTGGAGCACTATCCGAAACCCAGAAGATTGATTATGACCAAATACCTTTTACAGATCCGAATATTTTACTTGTAGCCAGTAAGTTATGAACTATTTTCAATAAAATTGTTTTGTAGTTTTTTTCTATTTATTCTTAGGTGACCAACCAAAACCTCTAGGCAAAAGTGTAGGTACTACAAAACTAAAACGTAGTAATTTAACTCAATATATCTAAATTTCTTGTTGTAAGGAACTATGTGCCAGAGTGAGACATATCAAGCAGTGAAAAAATAAAAAAAAGTTTAAAAAAATCTAAAAATTTAACATTGCCAAAAAATATAATTACAATAGTTTTTATGAACAGAACAAAGCAGTTTTTTTACATATATGTAAAATCATTTATCTAATTTAGTAACTAAAAATGTATACATATTATTATATGCATTACAATAACGCAGGGCGGCCAACACTGTGTAGGGTCCATTGAAGTCACTAAAACAGCTACTTTTTGAAAATAACTGGACACCTACTCTGGCTAGACTTGATAAAAAAATATATCACATTTGAATGTAAATACTTGTAAATGAATTTTTTTTGCGAAAGTGATGCGTCTTATAACAAAAAGAAACTACTTGAAAGTAAGAAGGGTTTGAATAGAAATGAAAAGACAACAACAAAAATTTTAGTTAAATTATTAAACTTTGGCTGACCATAAAACGCTGTTTCCAGTATTGCCAAGTACTCATCATAATCGAATTTTTTAAATTTATTTTTTATTTATGCCAAGTATTTAGAACTATTAATTTCAAATTTGCCTATAAGCAAAAATTTGTATATATTAGTGAAAAAGTGGCAATGATTGCAAAAAAGTTGCTAACAGTCAAGCCAGTGTAGACGAAAAGTGAATTTTATTACTAATTTGTGCTCCACTGCACATCTACATCTTATTACGGCATTTAAATCATATACAAATTTAAAGCCATTGGTTTCTATCTTCATTCCATTAGTGGTTAGCTTTCTTAACATTGAATCAATATATAGTAGTATTTTTCTTACTACCACTCTTGTATTGCATTCCAGTTTTATTATCACAAGGTACAAGACTGATGAAACCTTAAGAAGTGTAACACGATCGCGTCAACAATAACATTATGTACACAGATCAGAGTTATTTAACGTGATTATATGCGTGAATACTTAACCCGACGTTGATCTTAACACACGTATCAGTCCTATAATACGGACACAGGACTATAATGGGACACGTATAATGTCCCACTAAACGGCGCATTAGAATTTCAAGCAATTTCGCCGGTACCAATCTAAACTATACGTTTGGATATAGTTTCAGCATCTATATCCATCTGATTGGAAAATGCAGCTTCACATCGAATAAAAATAAATGAACACAATTATTCTACATGCGTAAAATTGAATTTTAATCACAGCCACTATAAGACTACTTTTAAGGAGCCAACCTCCATTGGTCAGGACAACCGAAGCTGCGGGTTCTAACCCCCCTGTGTTAACAGATTCGTAGCTCAGGTCGGGTGTCGCAAGTTAAACTCACTCACTACCATTTGAATTTTAGTTACCTCCTACAACAGGTATGTCTCACTTTGGGGATATTTTAACCCATATCCTGAAAGGTGAAACATTCTGTATAATGAGTTTATGACAACAGAAAGCAGAAACTTAAGCATTTAAGGTAAATAAACCAAACTGTCCTGTAGTGGTGTATTAATATCTCATATATATATTTCTAGATGTTAGTTATTTTTATTGTTTATATTTTAAATTATTTAAAACTTGCTGTTACGAATATATTTTCCAAAAACAATCAAAGAAGGGTGCCAAATACGTCTTACAAAAATGTCTGTTATGATGCATCATTATGCTTTATACAGAATAAAAACCCTTGAGATTTTATATTGAAAAAGTTCAATTGCTTAACTTTTGTGGCGACCACAGCAGCAGCTTTCATTTTATGTATTTTTTACATGTAAATCTCAAATGTCTGCTCTATGGTTTTTATCCTTTGCTGAGCATTATGCCTCTCTCTAAATACAAAAACAGCAGCAACAAAATTACATTCAAAACCCTGAGAGAACGCTTAAAGTAGTTCAAACCTTAGAAATTCTCTTAGTTTCGTTCAGTACTTGTAACTGAAAGTTACAATCTAATGCATTGTTTGAAAAATTACTATAGATTTACCAATCGAAAACGTTACTAGTATAGTCAGCTATTTTGTGCCAACATAGCTTACTTCTTCAAGTATCGAACTTTGAAGTTTTAACTTATGGTATTTTGATTACACGATCTAAACATTTAACTATTGCCATGTAGTGTCAACAGTATCTGCAATATTAATATTATTTACACAAATACTGAGAAACAGCTAGCAGATGGGAGAGGTAGCCAGATATACTAGTTCTTTGTGTTTTTCATGTAAAAATATTCAACTGTTAAGCCTAATATTTCTATAACTAAGGTATAACTATTTAATTCTGGCAAACTTAAAAAATTTGCTGTTGTTTTTAATTTGTGGTTGTTTTAATTAAAATCCGATGCGAAATAAGTCAGCCCGGAAAATCGTTCCTTCATGCCAAAATATATTTTTTTAATTTTGAACTCCTTAAGCTCTAAGATTGTATATCTTTATAATACAGAATGGTTACAGGCTCCTCTGGGAGGTATGCAGATCTGAGGCCAATTAATTTTATATCTTTATAATACAGAATGGTTACAGGCTCCTCTGGGAGATATGCAGATCTGAGGCCAATTAATTTTATATCTTTATACTACAGAATGATTAAAGGCTCCTCGGGGAGGTTTGCAGATCTGAGGCCAATTATTGCTTTGTCTGATGAAGTGATAAACAATAATCCAGTCAAAGCGTAGATAGGGGTTATGAAGACATCACGCAGTTAATAGAGAGTAAAGTTCTCAAGTGCATTGAGTCAACTAGTCTCAATATATAATATAATACAAAATATAACTTACCATTATTGGGTTTTTTAGGTATTTCAGTCAAGTTAATACCACGAGCTTGGAAAATATGCGAAACTGAACTGCAATTCGGTGTGAATTGTTTTAGTACTGATAAAGTACCGCCACCAACTCCACCGGGTGATGCTAAGGCAGCGGCATGTGGCGGTGGCAGTGGAGCAGTCACATTAAGTTCTGTATTTTGTGCATAAACACTAATTGTAAACGTTAACTGTATCAACATACAGGCAACTATTAAAACATAACCGTTATATTGCGCACACGGCAGCTTCCAGCGCAAAGCGCGACATTTATGATTGTAAACTGTAGCGGTGGGGTCTTGAGACTTATAGTTCGTCGTATATAATGATATTTTCATTTTAATATTATTGTTAAATTACTTATTATTAACAATAATTTTACTTGTACTATTAATTAATTAATTATTAATAACTGTATATATATAAAATTTTTTCTGCCGTTGAAAGAGTAATTATTGCAACCGGATTTCAGAGTGTAAATAATAACAAAAACTTTGTTTATGTTAATTACAGCAAAAACAAAATTCTAACAAAAAGGTTGCCAACGAAGTTCGTTAAATCGTACACTCAGCGTTTTGCTCAACTTTTTAACTTGTTTTTTTTTTTATTGTCACATTTTCCACATTTGTAAACAATTCATTTTGCCGGCAAATTACTTAGAACGACACACATACACACACACTCTCAAATAATTAAACTTTTATGGAGGCAGTTTGGCAATATAAAAAACAATAATTTTTATCAAAATTTTATTTATTTATTTTGATGATATTAATGTATTTTGTAATTAATAAAAATTAATTAAATAAAAGCAGCTTCAGTCTCAGTGTAATCAAAAGAGCTTCATTGCATTAATATAATAATATATGTATAATATATTTTTTTTATTTTGTTTTGTATTTTTTTATACGATTTAGTGCAATTAAAAATGTTTTATTTATGTTGTTAAAAAGAAAATATTTAAAAAAAGGAGAATTTTAAATAAATAATCAACCGACATGTACGAACTTGAACAAATATGCAAACTTTGTGCGAAACAAAAAAGCGCTAATCACTCCACACTCAACACCCAACAGCGAACAACAAACGACTGTTGAGTACAACGAGCAATGGAAGTTTGTGCAACAACAAAGGATCAAACACATTTCCAGCAATATTTTTGTTTACATGAAAAGGGTTGCGTGTTTATTTTACTAAATTGTGTAATATACCATAGTTCAACAGAAATAGTTCAAGAATTGCTTCAGCTTAATTGTTCAAATTTTAAATTTTGATTAAAAAAGTTTTCAGTTATTTATTTTTCTTTTAATTTTCAATAATAATTACTTAAGATTCTCAGCTTAAAATTGATGAAATATTTGATATTTGAAGGTATTTATTTTAAATAACTTGGAAATATCATAATTTTAAAACGTATAACAGTCATATTTATTAAAACTATTGTTTTATGTTAATAACGGTTGCTTTTTTAGCTGCATGACAACTATTGCTATTGATAACTATGGTTGAGAATGTCAAGCTATGTTGACATTTTTATTTAGTAAGAGTAATTGTTGTTGCTTTCGATGCAAAATGAAAATTTGACATTGACAGCTCACTTTATTTTGCATTGAAAGCAACAAAAATTGCCGTCGGTGACACTGAGATACGGTGGAAGGAAAGCATAAAATATCTGTGGGTCACGTTTGACAAACGGCTCAATTAGTATAAACACATGACATGCACACGGAATAGCTGTTCTAAAATTTTATATCTTATAAAGCCGCTGTTCAATAATAATCCCTTCAATCTCAAAAATAGAATGTTACTATATAATCAAATAATTAGACCAGCACTACTGTATGGATGTGTTACATACAGCAAAGCCTCAAATACTGCCATAAAGCAATTACAGATAGCACAAGACCTGGCTTTATGAAGACTATTTAAGATTACATGGTATATTATAACAACAGACATGCAAACAGATCGACTCAGTGAAAAAATATGTCAGGGACAGAGCCCTAAAATTATTCACAAAAGTTGATGCGCTGCCCAACCCCGCCTTAACAAATCTCAAGTCCACCTCAGGACCAACAGGAAGATATGGTGACATACAGTCCTTCATCAGTTAAACAATAAATAAACGATATGAATTCCCGTATAATTAAAGCCTAATGTGGGGTAGGGATAATTCCCTCGGCCACAAAAGAGTAAAAGTTCACAATAGCACTAACTCAAGAAATCACAACAACACACACACAACAATTGCCGCAACGTGACTGCAATCATAATATGCTTCTAAAGCTTAGCAACTCACTAAATTATTTAGAATTGTATTTTTGAGGAAGTAGCTGCCGTTATGGTGAATGGGCATGCTGACTAAATTTTTGTTTTCAAAAATTATTCAGTTAAACATCGACGACATTTGGTTCATATAAGACCAAGAACGGCGCAACTTGCCATACAGCGCGCTTAAGATTCAATTTATTGCGAAATCATTTTGGTATCAACTTTATTTCCAGAAGTGGTCCTGTTAACGGACCTCCACGTTTGTTCGATTTAACGCTCTCTTTAACTTCTTATAGGGCCAAGTTGTGATTAGTTTATGCCGACAAACCAGCAACTCTTGAAGCACTGGAAGCCAATGTTCATGAAACCATTGACGCCATACGGTCAAATTTATTGCTAAAAATAGTCAAAAATTGGATTGATCGAATGAATGTAAATCCAATGCCATGAATAAATGCCATGAAATTATCTACCCGATATTAAGAGCAAAGTTCATGTATAAAAAGTTTTATCCTGTTGATAGTGTCTCTCTCTCTCTCTCTCTCTCTCTCTCTATCTTGCCAGTTTACCTGCCTGAAGAAATAACAGCGTTTCATGCGATGCGGATTCTAATAACAATACCGGGCTGTGAATGGTATATATTTGTGAAGTATTATTCTCAACAAGTGATCTCGAACTCTTTTATGGACTATGGCTTGTCCGGATATTGATATAAATGAATTTAAAATGTTACAATACAAAAAAAGACGTATTACATGGAAATTTTCCTACTTGTAACATTTGCCTTATATCTCTTTTTGGGTATAAATTATACTAAAAAGGATGAACTAACATACGTACTACAATAATATATGAGTACCAAAGAAATATCTATACATGCGTCAATGTACAAAAACATAGATTCGCCATCGCTGCTCTCAACCGTTGCTGCAACATAAAACTGAATTGCTGCCATACTAGAAGTTCAAAACCACATACGTTTCTTCTTTTTCTTTATTATAAGATTAAATCCTATTTTGTTGCAATTGATTTATATATATTTATTTGAAACTATGACATATTAAATGATTATATTTCTGTAGAGCCAGACATTCAGCATTCTCTCCATCTTTGCGACGGTCGATTACCCGTTTCGCGACTGTTGAGATCTCTACCATCGCAATCTTGGCCAGTCAATGATTTTCCATTTTTTAGACATGCAGATTCCACTCCTTCCGTCTCCGTCTATTTCATTTAATTATGGCCTGTACTTCGCAGAGTCGCAGCTTTAATAAGTTTAAATATTTTTCAATTTATCCCAAAAGCCATATTACATATTTAAATTGAAAAATTAAGAGACCATAGCGCGAGCATATATAAGAACTTTCGTCAGAAGCGATAAAATTGCATTTTGAAGGTATTATCTAGGATGTACAATATATTGTATATTAAAGTTTTATTTAAAATATATTCTACATAACTGAAATTATGAAAACATGATATATATACTTGTATTATCGAATTTCAGAATGATTACAGGCTCCTCGGGGTGGTATGCAGATCTGAGGTCAGTTATGGCTTAGTCTGATGAAGTCATAAACAATAATCCAGTCAAGGCGTAGAGAGGGCTTATGAAGAAACCTCGCAGTTAATAGGAAGTAAAAGTGTCAAGTGCACTGACTCAACTAGTTTTAATATAATAATTAATATGTGATCAAATTAGTTTTGAATTTTATTTTTCATTAACTTTACTAAACGTAAAATTAGATAAAATTTAGAAACACTATTACAAATTCAGTTTTCGGCTCGAAATTTCAGTTCTTTGCTTTCATCCGAGTATGGACCTCGATAGAAAGCCCATAGTAAAAATTGTTGTTGAACGCGATGACTCGTGCGTTCGCGCAGCCAAAAAGATACGTGACTTAAAGATAATGTTACTTTTTCGTAAGTAAATTCAATTATAAACAAATACTTAAATAAACATTTAAATAAACATCATTTTTACGCAAATTTAGTGCAACGTAGAGCTTTATATATCAATAAACGTCTTGACAGGATGTCGGAGAGGTTGAAACAATTATCGCAAAAGGATTCAAAGAATTTAAAATTTTTCGACACTTTAAAAGTTTTGGGCTCTCATTACGTCACGTAGTAGCCATTTCTGTTCGACTTCTAATTCCTTAAAATATTTGATGTTCGTTGGGGTCAAATACTTAACACTCAATAAATATAACAATGGCATTTAAGATGAAATCCCAGCTATCAAAATTTGCTATCTTAAAATTTTTTGGAAATATGAATTTCAGCCAGAGTAAAATTTAGGAATTGGACACAAAAAACGCTTTCATACAATCGCGACCAACTTTTTATGGGCTTTCAACTATTAGCATCAAGTTATGTATAGTGATGCTTATTAGAATTTTCTCAAAATATTTGTTTGGCTTCAAAAATAAAAGTTGTGTTTTCATAGTGAATGTGTTATAACATTTATTAGAGAATATAAACCTATACTTAGGACATCCTATTAACCACCGTCATTTGTAATGTGTTTATACCACTAACCCATTTGTTGTTAGCATTGCAGCGTGCAGTATTGTTATTCTCTATATCTAAGTGCAGCACCTGTCCAATTTGATCAATACGTCCTTTGATAGTGCTACAGAAATAAATTATTATAAATAAGAAAGAAAAACTGTTTTGTATGCATTACTTATCTAATATGCACGACACTAACAAACTTTCAACTTCATTTGGTTCGATGTTTAGTGCCGTAGCTATAAATGAAATCGCTATGTTCCTATATGGGCGAATCAATGTAATAAGCACCTGCGTTCTAATATTTCGCAACAGATCTTCAATATGTTCACGAATAAAAGGGTCTGCCATTATGTTTTTGCGATTCTTTCGTAAAATGGATTCGAATGTTTTTATATCGTTGTTTTGATAAGACATGACTAAGTCCGTCATAGCTAAAATTTCGGGATCGCTCTTATAGGGTTTGGCTTCCTGTGAGTCAAACGGATTTATATCCGACTTCATTAACCTTTAAATTTATAATTTAAAAAATTTGTCATTAGTGTGTATTAATTACTAAATAAAGAAATTATATACTGCAACTATTTATAGTTCGTGAATTTTAAGTTTTCATTAAGTATTGTTTAGCATATATCAAAATACTTACATGTTAGCCAATACTAAATATTTAAGGCAAGTCGTTCGTCTTGGGGAGCCCGATTCGTCATAGTTTTTGAATGCTTCAAAAAAGTCAGTGTGGGCTTTTTCGAATTCTTGCTCTCGCAAATGCATTTTGCCACCGCATTCGCGTATTACGCCCATAATCAATGGGTGTGGGATAGCCGACTTAATGTGTAAAGATTGCTCATACAATGCTTTCAACTTTTTATTATTTTTTTGTACAGTGTACATTTGAATTTCTAACGCATATATTTCAAGTAACTGTGTACCTTTCTTCAAATCATCTTCTCCTTCATCTGTCTGGCAAGACTGATGCAGTTGTTTTAAGATTTTTTGTAATTTACTAAAATCACTTCGGTCAAAATATAGTTTTCCTAATTTTGTATTCGTTTTAAACCAAAGTCGGTCGTTCTTTGCGTCCTTTAAAGCATCTAACGTAGTTTCATAAAAGTTCTGCAGCAATTCCATCTGTGATAATAAATAATACTTTATACAATACCTAAAATAATTTAGAAAGATTCACTAACATTTTTAGATGTTGATATATAATCCAGTATAGAGTTAATTGACTTCTCTGAATGATTACGTGTGACGGCACTCCTGATGTAAGTAAGCAATTGTTTGTAGCGCACTGTCATCTCTCCAAAATTGTTCTAAAAATATATTGAAGGATGTAACAAACAAATGAATTTAATTAAGTGACATAAAAAGGGAGATCAAACTTACAAGTTTAAAATTTATTTTTATCATTTGCTTGAGGGCTTTGAAGCCCCACTCGCCTTTTTCACCATTCTCTAAATCAAGCACTTTTTGAAAAGAAGCTAGTGCTGCTTTTGGATCGTCTTCTTTTAACGATTTGCTATTGTAGTACTGATTTTCAAGATCCACATCAGGCTCTGAATTACTATCTTCAGAATATTCCTAAAATATGAATATAGTTATATTTTTTAGAGATCTAAGTGTTACCCGGTACCGTAAATATACACTTACCAAGCCGTAATCTTCGTCATCTGCTCCCATAAAATCATCATCATTATCAGACATATTAATAAATAAAATTCAATTCAATTTCACTGAGAATTAAAAAGAATATTACAATATTAGTTTTTTATCGTAATAAACTGTGGTTAATTTTTATCAAAAACATTTACAAAGCAAAAAAAATCGAACGGTATGTCAAAATTCAGCAGCGTTGCCAGAAACGTATTTTTAAATTGAATTTAAGACGCAATCTATACTACCTACAATAAGAAATGTGTTAATTTATTAATAGATCTCAGCAGATTTTTATTAAGCCAATAAATAGCTAAATAACTCAATTATTCAAATTTTTTTATGTGTATCTAATAATTTGTGTGATAAATCAGGATATAGCACTTAAGTAAATTAAAACGCTGCATGGTATGCTAATTTGATAAACAGTTTATTTCGAAATAATTCGAATTCAAATCAGCTATTGCTAGAATATTTTTTTGCAATTTTTTTGTAGGTTGTCCTGGGTGTCTATTCCTCAACTGTGCAAACGACAATGTACACAAAAATTTGCTTTCATTTTGATTTTGCTACAATATAGCAAAATATAGTATTTTATAAGAAAGTGTAAACTGCGGTGAGAAACAAGTTTTTCGTCTGCGTGAACACAAAATTTTTTTCACAGTTGAGGAATTGACCCACGGAAAGTTTTAGTGAGTTTTGCTATATTCACTACATATGTCTTCATAACTTTTCTATTTAGCAGTTTCATATATTTGTGTTTTAACAACAGCTTAGCATGTTAAATAATTTCGTACAGAGGTCGATTATAACAAATAAGGATTAACACGTACATTTAAATCATAATTTAGTAAATTTTTTTTCTAATAATTTTTGTAAGACTTTTGCAAAACAATAAATAAATAAGTACAACTTTCGATGGTAATTCTGGACAAAATGGATATTTTGTTAGGCTTATATATGCAAAACACGTAGTAAAATCTCCATAATGAATAATAATTCTTTGCAATTATTGGTGAAATAATTTTTATGCCTTTTAAGAGTAAAATAATAAACAGAAAAAGTAACGTATTTGTTACGAACAATGACGCCACGAAATACGAAGAATTAATGAAACCATTCATTGACAGTTAACTGGAAATTTTGTATGTACTTCCAAAATTCGTTCACAATAGACGAATTTTTTGGTTTGGCAACCATGCGATTTGAGTTAAGCGATTTCAAAAAGGTTGGACTAAATAAGCCAGCAGTGTTGTTGTTGCATATATTATTTTTGAAATAAGCGGTTGTTCTTTTGTGATATACTTACAAAGGAAGGTCCTAATGTTGACAGTGGGACGATAACCGTAATTTAAATTAAGATAGCATCAGCTGTTGCTGGTTGAACAACACAAAATATCGTATTATATTATCATAAAAAAATATTATTTTAAGCTATGAGTTATAAGAATTGTTTTAGCTTCCACTGAGATATTAAAAAGTACTACTTTTTATAGATATTATTTTCATTGACGAGTTTTCTGTGTTAATGTATATATAATATTGTAAATAATATTACGTGATGTTGCAGTTAAATCCGATTTTCATATCGGTACTTTTCTTGATCCTCTTTTAATGTTTCTGTAACGCCACCGAAAAAATGAAATCCTGAATGACCTTAGAACCATATAAGCCCAGTTCTAAGTATAATTTTAATACTAAGCAGAATATATGACATCAGACAGTATTGCTAGTTAATCAAAGCTCCAAGTTTATTTGCGGTAATTATGGCAATTTGCGAGTATTAAAAATCTAAGATGCATATGCAGTCGGATATATTAAAAATAAAATCGTCGGGACTGTTATAAAGGGATCTGCATTATAAGAGAGTTAACAAAATATTTCTGTTTGCTATCACGGTACTTTATCTAAAACTATACATAATGAATTTTAAAACTATAAACAATTTATATTTTATATAAATATAGACAGCATTGAAATAACTAAAAAAAAATCGCAGTATTTGCGTTATAGAGAGGTCCGACTGTGTATGTATAGTAAAAGTAGATTTATTCTATTTGTATTTTTATAATTTTAATTATTGTGCATAAACCTTCCAAATCATTTTTACAACATAATATTCCAGCTAAATTATAAAATAATTTTGTGAAAAAAAACGTATTATAACAACACGCATAAAATAATAATTAAATGTTTAAATATTAATTTATATATACAAGTTCTGGTAATTATTTTAAACATTAAACTTTAATAGATTACTAACAACAAATATTGTTTAATATTATATATTGATTTGATGACATGCAACGAAATATAAAAATGAAATATTCAAATAATTTAAATGTGAGCATTATATTTTATATATTTTTATATAACTTAAACCTATTTGTGAATTATAAATATAATATAGAGTGTGAACAATTAATACATACTCATATTTAATAAGCTGCGACTTTCATTACCGGCATGATCAGTTAAAAGTAAACATTTTTTCAAATACAATTCTAAACTAATAATTTTATCGATCAATTACCGACAAATAAACAATTAAATAGTATACAATTGATAAATTTAGTATGAAAAAAATTTAAAAAATAATTAACAATAAAAATTTTTTTAGCATTAATTAAGAAATATTACAATTAATATAAATAACATAAATAAAAGAAATAAAAATTATATTTTAAAATATTTATCAACATCCTGTACGGTTGCAATGGTCTCCAGATTTTGAAAAGTTTGTTTTATAAGTTCCTTGATTTTTGATAGGGCTGAAATAGTAAAATTATTAAACAATTTGTTTAATTAAAAATATTTTTGTGCTTACATGATTTACCGTCAACGATATGGTTTGATAAGCGCTTAGCTAAAAGTTTAAACACATCCTTATCACTTATCTTCCGTTTATAGTAAGGATTCAAAAAATCAACAATTTCTTTGCCTACTTGCGCTTTTATTTCTTTTAGTTTCTGTTGTTCTCTGAGTTTATTTTTTTGCTCTATGTCTCTTTTAATATTTTTTTCCATATCAATATCCTTCTTATGTGCAGATTTATATTTCTTAACATTTTTATCAGGATTTTCTGAATGAGATTTAACGTTAACACTTTTTGAAGTAATATCTTTATGTAAATGCTTGGTCGGGATCTTATCTTTTTGGCTGCTTGGGGGTTTTACAGTGTCTTTTTCAATTTTAACTTTATTTTGCTTTTCAGTATTGCTTTCATTTTGTAACTTCTGCTTTTTTTGGTCTTCATTGTTTATCATTAATTCTTTTGTGGTGTTTCTTTCTTCCTTTATAAAGTTTTTATCTTTTTTATTATCACTTCTTTTATCTTCATCTACCTTGTAATTGTCTTCCTTTGGTTTTTCTTGATCCAATATATTGTCATCCAAAGTATGAATATGGTCTTTTATGATCTCTTCAAATTTTTTATAATCCATTTCTAATATATTTTTGGACTTAATAAATTCTGAATTTTCATTCAATTCCTCAGTAGCTACTTCAGAGGTTTCAGTGGGAGTCGTCTTTATCGTCTCATTTTTAATTTCACTGTTGTCTATTCTATTTTCATCCATAATTAATCTCTCTTCACTGCTAATGGAAGAACAATCAATGTCTGACTCTTCTTTAATAACTTTCTTTTCAAAAAAACTTCCGATTTTTGTTTGTATAGAATTATCTTGTTTGTAACTTTTCCTTTGCTTAAGAGCTTTTGGTAAATCCTTACTGGAGGTCACATCGCTTGTTATTGGTGATTGCGGTCTACTACTCTCCAATTCTTTAAGTTTGCGTTGAAAATATTCTACACTACCACCATTCTGTGAACCCGTTCTTCTCGAAGTTTCTGGTTTTGGTGCATAATCTTTCAATAGAGGCAATAGCTGATTTTTGTTTGTTTGATGACGTATACCTGAAAGCTGTAAAAATTGATTAAACAAAACATCAAACGAAATCAAAGAAAAAGTTACATTTACTGATATGACAAAAACCTTTATAATTATTATTGTAATAGAAAAAAGTTGATTTAGCGTCTATTTCAATTTATATTATTACAACTATAATAATATAACTATGTTGAACTGATTTCATTTGGTAATATTAGGATTTAATCATCACGATGTTATGCCGACAGTCATAATTGCGTTAAGTATACAACTATTGTTATGTTTAATGGAAATTGCAAATTTGAGAATGAGAGCAGAAGAGAAATATTGATTAAACTGTGATCAGGGCGGCGAAGCTTTTTGTGCCTCGTAACTGTCATTATATGAGTTTATCCACAATAAATATATTAATTTCTAAGTCAAAACCAAAAACTTTAAAAACAATATAAAATTAAAAATTGTCTTTTAATTCTCTGCAAGATATGCATTCGTGGCCATACCAGAAACAACATAAAACCTCTGTTGTTATATGACTGTCTGTATAATATGGGCCTTAGTAATACTGTTCTAATTTATTCTCCCAGTGGACATATGTGAGAGAAAGCTTTACTTTGACGAAAACACCTTTTTGAAAATTGTGAACAAATTGTATCTACTTTGTGATTCAGCTGTCTCATAGGTTATATGAAAAATACATATACGAGATATATGAATCAATGTGGCAATTTGTCTGTTAGTTTCTTATAAGTTTCTTAGCCGCTGATTGTGTTTGAATTTTTTTAAATTATTGCTTTTGCTCCTGGAAAGTGCAACACAGTTCTCTGTTAGAGTATTTGGAAATTTAACCTCATAATCTATGGAAAAATATTTCTATATTTTTACAAGTTAGAAAAGTTCTGTATGGCAAAAATTGGGCATTTAAATTATATGTGAATTGATTCTATTATATCGTGCTATCCTTAAAAAAACATAAGAGATATTGTTAACGTATTGAAATGAATCTATATTTCTATATTTGATGAGAATTATTGTTTCCTTAAATAAGTACTTGTTAGGATTCAAGTTTTTGAAAAATAGCTATCAACAGCCATTCCTTATAAAAAAAGATCTTGCAAACATTTTCAACTTATGCTGCAACAAAACCCTTAAGAAGTATGCCAGAAATACAATGCATTCAAGTGAAGCTATTTTTGTACAATAATTTTAATAAATATTTGTATAAAAGTAAAAAAAAAAGTACAACAAACATGCACACATAGTGCTGATGAATAATTTTCCTAAACTAAATTTTTAATAGAACTATAATTTGTATTGTATTTATTATATGATATTCTTCTTAATTTTCCGGCTATAACTTTTACATTGTATATTTTGTTAGTTTCCCTGAAGATGACTATCGAAGATAGGCGAAATAACGGAAAATATCTTAATAAAATAATTTGTTTTAAATTTAAATAATAAATTATAGTTTTTCTTTAATTTTTATATAAATGAGCAATTAGCCCGCTCATAAATTATTATTTAATAGAACTAGTTAATGTAAAAATTTCCATACCTATGCTAAAACATTAGAATAAAACTATATAACTCTGCAATAAATTAGCTCTCAGTAGATGCAGGAACTGCAACCGGTCTATACTACTGTTTAAAAAAACTATATGGATCATAAAATATTCCATAACTGACAGTACGTGCTGTTGTATAATAGTTTTACTAAATTTAAAGGATATGGGAGCAGTCATTACTGTACCTGTTTTGCTACCGCGAGTTTGTACATATTACAAACTTTATTATTGCAAAAGCAATCATATTCTATATCCACAGCCATGCTTTCATAGTCGCGTTGATTCAAGGCAATACGTGGAGTATCTTCGGTACATTTCTCTACATTTAACTTTAACGCATCAACAACAGCTGTTAAATAGGTTTCACGCATGGAAATTTTTAACCCAGTAACTTTTGTGGATGTTGCTTGAGCCATTTTAACACGGGTTATTTGTGACTCATTTTCCTGTTCTAATTCTTTTGCGGCGTTTAGTTTTTTACGCAACTCGAATTGTTTACGTATAAAATCTTGAGCTTCTCGTTTAGCCTTTTTATTTAACAATGTGTGACTAACACCGGCATCATCACTACCATCATCTTCATCGTTGTAATCTTCAGCTGCACGTTTCATACCAACACGACCACCTAAATATGTATTTTGCAATAAAAATTTATATATATGAATATTTATGCAATATGTTTTACCTTCGTAAAGATCACTACTATCTTGAAGTGAAACACTAGACTTAAAAACTGCATCCATACAAAGCTTTTGAAAAGTTTGTAATGCAGTTTCAATTTTCTTGGGATTTTTGCATACATCGCATTGTTTGCCACAATCTGGTGGTGGATCTCCAAAATAATCCGAAAATAGTTTATGTCGACATTGTATCATTTCACAAAAAGAAACAATATCATCAAAGTTTGTCATGGCACGCTTTGCTTGCTCCAATTTGCTTGAACAAGTTGATCCTTTTGCTCGATTAATATCAGCTTGAAGTAAAAATTTAATTGACTTAACATCATCTCTGCCATAGTATAGACGGCAATACGATTGTAAACCATCACGTCCCGCACGTCCAGATTCTTGATAGTAAGCAGCCACATTTTGTGGTACGTCCCAGTGTATAACAAAACGAACGCTTGGTTTATCTACACCCATACCAAAACTATTAGTTGCACATATTATAGGATATTCACCCCGCATCCATTTCTCTTGTACTTCAATGCGTTCTGCAGCTTTTAGTCCAGCATGATAGGCTATGGCACCAATTCCTTGACGTGATACACCGACAGCTACTCTCTCTACATTTTCACGGGTACGGCAATATATAATACCGCAGCCACGTTTAGGTGGCGGTGCTTTTTTGAAGTCTTCTTCGTTACCAAAGCAATATGCCGCAAAATGTGCTAAATGTTCAAAGTCATCTTCAATGGAATTCTTAAATACTACATCGTAAAATAAATTATTTCTAAAACTTGGTGTGGTAAATTTTGATATAGGCTGACGCATTTGCAATTGCTTGAAAATATCATTTTGCACATACTTCGAAGCAGTCGCTGTCAATGCAATCCACACAATGTTTTTATAAGTGTCTCTAAGTTTGCCCAAACGTAGGTAGTCTGGTCTAAAATCGTGTCCCCATTGCGAGACACAGTGTGCTTCATCTACTGCAAAATAACCTATTTTATTGTATTTCACTAAACTAGCCAGCAAATCCTGAAAACTTTGAGTAGCTGCCTGTTCCGGTGTGATGTAAAGAAATCTTATATTTGGTTTTATCGCCTTCAAGTCACTTATTACTGTGTCGCGCTCTTTTTGTGTCATTTTTGAATTCAACGAATCCGCACGCACTTTTATTTTCGACAAATGGTCGATTTGGTCCTTTATTAAAGCCAGCAAAGGAGAGAAGACAATAGTTATTTTTTCTGATAGCAGGCCGGGTAACTGAAAACATAGAGATTTACCCGAACCAGTGGGCATACTAACGTAAACATCACGAGTTCCTGAAGTATTGCATTTATTTATTAATAATAAATATCTATGTGGGATAAAAAGACTCACCCCTGACAGCACATTTCACCGCATTTTTTTGCAAATCAGATTTGAACTCCTTAAATCCAAAATATTTTTCCAAGCCATTATAAATTATATTCTCTGTATCACTTCGTTCACACATTTTTTATATTTTTCATCTATTGTTGTTTTGTTTATGTTAATGATAAAATTTTCAATATTTCGCCGTCTTTTTTATACACTTTTCGGCGGGTTGTTTTGACAGCAGCGTTATCAGCTGTTAGAAAGCCGCCAGGTATGTTGTTTATACCAAAAATCAGAGTTGTTAAAATTTTATGTTTGTAAACATAAGCTGTATAATAATATATATATAAATAAACAGACTTTGTTGTTTTGTTATATAAATTAGAAAAGCTTACTACATATTTATATAAAAAAACAAAAAAAAAGAATTAGCTGAACATGTGGAAAATTTAATATGTAATTTTTATTTTAACTGTACTTGTGCTGTAATAAAGCATGTTGCTCTATCTACCAAATTGTTCTTCAAGTAAATTTATTATTAGAGAAGATCTTATATGGCATTAACACTGGTGGCAAATGACTCATTTCAAATCAGCCATTTAAAAGTCTTTACATTTGTTGTTTTTTATATGTTCTCATTTCAAATACTGTCTAAGTTTTTGGTAAAAATGGAATCTTAATTAGTGGTATTCAGACTGAATGCCTTTTGTCTGGACCTAGGGCTCGCAGATTGCATAATAAGATAATATAATTTGCCTAACTGCTTTTCATATTGCAAAGAATATATTCTTTAAGTTCTGCTACTATAGATAATAAGTCGATTATTATTAAAAAATTTTTTACTTGAATCAATCTATCGGTGGGTTAGTGCCTTTTAATACAAGATTGTATTAAAATGTCGTATTATCTTATTAAAATGCTCATCTCACTGATGAGCATCAAACATCTCAAGGTCTCTTTGCTGGATTCCTGGACACAGCAATATTGAAGCGAATGAACTAGCAGATGAGATGGCCAGAAGAGGTTCTGAATTGCATACAAGAGAGGCCAACCTCTCAATACAAACACCGATATGTGAACTGTGTGGTATAGTAGAGAAAATCACCAATACAGTGATTAACAATTTATGAGCTAACCGCGAAATCTGTGAGGTCGCTAGACCCTTATGGTCTAGTTTGTAGTTCGTGTACTTACTGGAGTAGTGACGGGTCACTATGCCATTGCGTCTATGCTTCAACGGTGGCGAGTTCCCACAAGTGGATTACGCAGGAGTTGCCAAGATATAGATGAGGTAGAATTTTTCAACCACTTCCTGTGTTTCTGTCCAGGACTACAGACAAGGCGACTTCAATGTCTTCGGGATCGCTTTTTCACTGGCTTGGGAGAGATAACGAAAGCAAACTTATCGGATCTCCTCAATTTTATCTGGAAAACCAAATGGTTTAACAAGGATAATAAAGGCTAGCAACTCTCCTCTCCCGGCAAAATTTTTGAGGGCATCACAATAAGCAATATATGGCTCCGACTGGAAGTACTAAGAACTGTCAGCAAGCGCCTTCGAAACCTAACCTAACCTAGTGTATTTTAACAAGAAAGATGTAATAAGATTTTTAATATATGCCAATGAAAAAAAATATGAAAAATTTGATTTTGTTTTACTTTTCATAAAAAAAAGTTTGTTTTAATGAAATTTGTATATATTTAATAAAAAAATTATATATTTGTACATTTTAGATTACAAAATGTTTCATGGCAATTGCTTTTTTATTACATAAATATGTTAATATATGAACGATATGTTAATATAGAATTGTGAACATTTGTTATAGCTTACATACGTATATAAAAACCTTTAATTTAATATATTTTTGTAATACATATATATGTATATATATAAAATTATATAAAAATTATCTGTAAATATTACAGTTAGAATGGACGTTTTGTGATTTTGTAAGTTTTTGATTCATATTAATTTGGGGATAAAAAATTATTCCAATTCACCACTCATTCCGAAACGTATGGTTAAGATAACATCGATTAGGTATATAATAGTGGTCACCAGTGATACAGACGCTGCGCCTAAAAGAAAGTCTAAACGTTGCATATTTGGATGCCAGTTGTATAGCATTTTGGTATTGGACCAATCACGGAAGAGTAGTGCTGTCGTTGCTATGAAGAGAACGAAAGCAACAAGTGACCAAAGTGTAGCTGATCGCCATGGAGTTCTGCAATAAATAAAAAGAATAAATTTTACTAACATAAAATTCCAAATGAAATTATGTGTAAGAAAAAAGAAGATACATACGCATCGCCAAACATAGTCATAATTAAATTAATTGACGTATAAATTATCAGACTGCCAAAGGTTACATAGCAGAGCGCCGCGACGCGTGGTGTTATGAAGGTTCGGGCTTGACTGTGTGCTGCTGGAGAGTCAATCAGTCCAATGCAGCATATGAGTAATAACTTTAAAAAAGCATTGATGCTATTGAATTCAATTAAGTGAATTATTAATAAAACAAACTTACAAGCTCCAAGACCTTAATGACGAGCAGCGTGTAGGTGGCCTTTTTGGATGCTCTGCTCCCATTTGCGGCATATGAACTATCATCAGCTGGCGACATTTCTACGCGTGATATCTCTGTGAAATAGAGCATAACAAAAAATGTTAAAATGTGTCGCATTTATGAATATAGTTATTTTGCTATTATATTCTAAATTATTTATCTCACAACTGATACCTATGGAACGTAGATAACTCATTCCGATAGTTTAAGTCGTTGCACTTTAAAGTTTTCTCAATTTGGGTTTTCTGGTATTTTTCGGAAACTTGATATTGCAGAAGTTTTGAAATATTAAGAATAATTTGATTTTGCTTAGTTCCAGAAAATAAGGGGATATCAATTTTTTTTTTAATTTTATCAGAAATTATTTTTGTTGCTATTTAAGTTGGTGCATTCATGCGTTTAATGATTATAAATCTAAAAAATATTGTAAAATAACACACTATAATTCGTTTTAGTGTCAAGGTTTAGGTTTAGTGTTCTTGGTGTAAATAACATTGACAATTACTAATTAACTAATAGAATCAAAACAAAAGTATGTAATTTAATATTTTTTCAAATGAAAAAATGAATTCTCGAAAATTTATATAGCAAAAAATATTATATTATTTCTATTGAATGAATTTGTAATTTTTAAAATTCATTAATTGTTGCTTAAAAATAATTTCATTACTCAAACAATTAAAATGGTAGACAAAATTTACTGACTCAATTTACTTTATTGTAAAATTAATATATTTAAGTAAAAAAAATAAAATGTTTCGTATACTATATATATACTATATTAGATACTATACAATATATTATATTATATGTTAAATATATATTATATATTATATAATTACATATTATATTATGTATATATGTGTATTATATTTTATATTATGTAATAACATAATATATTAATGATAATATAACAAAATTATATAATATGTAATTTATATATATATATATATAATATATTATGTATAACATAATCTATAAGAAATTATATATAGAAAATAATTTTCTAAATTTATACTGTTGCTTTTCATAATATGGGTACTCTTTTAGTTGTTATGTTTCAATATAATGATAGTCAAACAGCTGATAATAACACACCGTCATTTCCTTAGGTAAAGAAAACTTCTACATATGTATCCGAATAGCGTATGTATAGATTATTTCTGTATTTATTCAGTAAAAACATCATGGTGTTATAAGATTCTTATTTGAGTCTCAATGGTTTTATAAATAACAATAATTGTCATAATTGGAAAAAAAACCCAAAAGCGGGCTAAACTGTCAGCTTTCTCGTTCCTTTCGATGTTTCTATGTCCAGAAACTCAGATGAGGGTAATATCAGGCAACCGATTTAGCTTGTCGATTGTTCTCTACATTTCTTTACCATCTTTAATTTTGTTTTTGTTCCTGTCTGATATAATACGCTTAACTGAAATTTCATGTGGAATATATTGATAAGAAGAGCAATACTGATTAAAATAGTTCCCAGTTTTAATTTAAGTGGAATTAAGTTATTATAACAATATTACTGGTAGCGATAGGTCACTGCCTATTACAAAGATCTAACATCTAATGAAGAATGAGAAGGCAACTGTATACCACCTAATGTGTCAGTGCCTATCATTGGATTGAAAAATAATTAAAATTTTTGGTACCACTTTCCTAAATGTTTAATATTTTATATATGAGGATATAAATTGTCCTTCCATGGACAATTTGTATCAAACATATATAGATTGGGTAGTCATTGCTCACTGCTTAAAGGCTTTAATTGTTCAGACATGCCAATTTGACAAAGAATTTTAGTAAAGATAACTATGTTGGATAACTTTTTTTACTGCGTTCTATGTCAATTTACGTTTCGAGATATCGGGCGAGATACATATACATATAAACATTATTATATGAAAACCACCAAGTAGACGTTCATCTAATATGTCTACTTGTTACCAGTTGTTTGTAGATCTAAAAGCTACACAAAGTAGTTGACACTAAGTGGTGTATATAATTTTTATTATATCTTAATATTTTCAAAAGTATAGTAAGTTATAACGATATATACATATACATAGCACGTGTTATTAAACTGGCGTGCTTGGGAAAAATTAATATGGCTACAGTTAATTTTTTTAGAATTGTAAAATGGTATATCTGAAATTCTTTTATGAAACACAGTCAAACTTCTATAACTCGAACTTCTATAATTCGAATTTTCTATAACTTGAACGTAAAACAGTGCAACAGGTTTTTAGAGAGCAAATCACATATCATTCTGCTTCTATAACTCGAACTTCGAATATAATTGGAATAAAAATATTGTCACGTGGCAATAGGAATATGGAAAAGTGCATTCTATAAGTCAAATTTTTGTTTTAAGTATGAATCCATTTTGGTGTTAGGGGAAATCCCTTTTTCCAAATCCCTTTCTTTTTCCTTTTTAATTTTTTCTTTCTTATGTTGCTTCTTTGTGCAAATGCCAGTCGCTGTATTAATGGTTCCGTTTGTAAGCGTAACGGAAAGTGGTGATGAGTGTTCGGTGGATGAAATTGTTCATCACCCTTCCAAAAATGAATTAGGAGATTCATTCAAAATTCTGAGTTTTTATTTGCTTTTCTTTACACTAAAAATAAGAAAAAAATTTAAAATCCAAACCCTAATTTCTGAACGTTTCATGTCACTATAACTTCTGTGCTGTATTTAATTTCAAACAAATATAAATAATTATCTTAAAATGTAATTTTAGTTCATTTGAAATTTAAAAAAAAAAATTTTTAACTCGAAGTCTTCATTAATTGAACCTTTTCTTTGCGAACCTTTGGTACTTAGAGTTATGGAAGTTGGGCTGTGTTATCATTATGACTGAAGAAGAGCCCATTACATACCTTGCTTGAAGAAATGGATTCATTATATTTCTTTACATTTCATATATCGGTATATTGTTTATATGTAATTTATGAAAAAACCATCACATTTTATTATATCCACATAATTCCATGTGTGCATTGATTAGAAGTGGCATTTCGTGAAGGAATTTAAGGCATAAAAAGTTATGTGTTTTTTTTCGAACTCAACATAAATAAATTACAATGAACGACTATATATGAATAGTAAAAAGCAAAGAATTATACAAAAACAAAAAAAATTAAAATATAAAATATTCTTCAACAAAAATAAACTTTAATTAAAACAAACACAGTAGCTCACAGTCAAGAAACTATGAAGCGTGAACTCCATAACACCTTTGCGCTTGGCCTCCTTTCCATGTATACGTTTTTAATATAACACGAATCGGTGTTTCAGGATTTTAACAGTAAACATAATACTATATTATATTTTATTTGTTTCGTATATCTTTTTCATTTTTTCACTGAAAGCGGTAAAATGTGTGGTTTGCGTGTTGGCCTTAATAAATACGTCATGAACTCAATGTCAGTAAAGTGAGGCGCGAAGTTGCAAGTTGCGGTCTACAACGAAACAAGTCATAGTGACGACAAAATAGTACTGTTAAAACGAGTTTCGTTCGAAAACAAAACTTATCAAAACAAAATACCAAGAAAACAAGCACATAAAATACAAAAAATATGTTAAAGCACAAAAAACAAAAAAAAAAAAAGAATAACAAACAAATCAACAACAACAAACAACAATAAAAAATGTAAACAAACCGCACAGAACTGGTAACAGAACTGGCTGAAAGGAAACCTTTAATGTTGTTTACTTAGTGAAAGAAAGAGCAAAGAGCAAAGAACAACGCAAGAGAATGACGAGAGAGAAAAGGAGAAACCGAAGTTAACGATTTAACGTTAAGTGAGATTAGATTTCGAATGTTTTCGAGACGAGTACAGAAGCAGCAACGCCGAAAATAATTGCTGCCACACCTGTTTTAACACGCAGCTCTGTCGTTGCTCTATAGTAAGTAAGTAAGATCTAATCATTATTTTTAGATAGACCTATTTTAGACCATTGTAGACCATTTTTATATGTTATTTTTTCTTAATTAAAACTGCACTTAAATGCGAAACTCTCAAATGTCAAAAGCAATTTTTATTTTCTGTGTGGAAAGGGCAATGCGACTTGCCCGTAAAATGCTCAGTAATTTGAAAACGCAGTGTTCGTTCGTAAAGTTGAAGTTGTAAATTCGAAACGTTTTCTACAAAGTGAAACCATAGGCAATCGGGCGTTGACTTTTATGGTAATTTTTCTTGCGACTTTAAACTTGTCCATTTGAAAATAAATACAAATCGTAGAATAAAGGCATTGCATTTTCACAATGCAAGCAATTAAAAAATGAAGACATTTTGTATAAATTACTAGTCAGAATACTATTCTATTAAAAGTACAGAGTCGAGACATACGTACGGCACGATTAGATATTTTTATAATTTTTATATAAATTATTTTTGTTTTAAATTCTTATTTTACATATTTTATAAAGTTGTGAAAAATGTTATATTAGATTTTATACAATGTTTTATATGCAGCAAGCAAAAGAGATATCAGAGACCATCGATATAAACGATGGTTAAAGTAGTTCATTTACACCTCTCGTAACGTGATGGCATCTCAATAATCAATAGATGGCTTCGAGTTGATATTTTATATATATAAATATACGCCCTCTCAACCTAACCTAAATTAAAAGTAATTGTAAAAATAGTTCTGAAGTTGTCCACAGCCAGGTCATAAATGACAAATTTAATGATTGTCAGTAGGTCAATAAAATGCATCTTTACCCAAATTTTGGATATTAATATAGAAGGCATTAGATAATAATTGATTTCGAGTACTTGCAAATAAGAAGGAATATGCTGTACATAACAATTGTACACTATATTTATTCCGCGATTTCCATTGCAAAGCAAAAACTGTTAATGTGGAATGCTTTTAAAATCCCATCTTAAACATTTTTCATTATTTCTACTATAAATTGGTTTTAATTGCTCGTTATTCAGTAACCTGTTACCACTTCAAATGTTTTTCTTACAAATCGTGGTTAGGTTTTGTGGTAGAAATAAGGGCTTAATTAATGAAATGTGTAGGTGATCCAACTTCAATGCATCAATGAAGATACTGA